GCTCCCGCGCGTTCCCGCGCGCTCTCTCCGCGCCTCCCTTCACCCGGGGGGCGCACGCGTCCGCCCGCGCGCGGCTAGGACAAAGACCGCAGCGGGGACCCGACAGGCTGGCCCCTGCCGGCCGCGGCCGTGGAGCCCATGCCAGAAAGGACAGGGGCGCGGGCGCCGTCTCGCGGGGCTGTTGTGCCTCGGGGTGGCTTCCGGCCTGCGCCGCCTCCGGCGGGAGGCTGCCCATTGGGCTACCCGTCCCGCAGGCCAGAGCTGAATTGTCTGTGGGGTGGGTGATCTGAGGTCACCCCTACTGCTAGCAACATCCCCAGAAGCCCACAGAGAGTCGTCGTGGACTCGGGGCCCCAATGCCTGGTCAAGGGCCCTGAGCGTGTGGTTGGATGTCCCCAGCCGCCCCAGGCGCTGGGAGACTAATAGGTGTTGTTAAGGAAGCCAGGGACACAGTGAGAGGAAAGGTGTCCCTTCCCTTTCAAGTGAGGAAGGGACAAGATGGGGTCCTGGACATTGAGGTGGGTAAAAAGGATTTCGAGACTAGAGGGCCAGCCTTCAGCTTCGCACCTGAAGGGGACTGGCCATCGAGGCCTTAAAAACTTATATCCAAAACAATTTTTAAATATACTGCTGAAGATTTTAAAAAGTTGAAGATGGTCGCTTGGAGGGGTCCCAGGACTCTTCTGAATTGCATCGAGACGCCAGTTCTAGGAAGAGTGTTAGAGTCAGGGTGTCTACACTGAGGAAAGCATTAAATGAAGATAGTACAAGTTAGTTTTGCTCTGCCATTCTATTTTGCAGAGTCTCCAGGTGAACTCTGCAGTTTTTGCCCCAGGCACAAAGTAACCAAAAGTACAAAAACTTCCTGTTAGCAGCTCAGACCTTCTCTAGCTACTGAGAACTTGTTCCAGTGATGGAGTCTCAAAGGAATTTGTGGATTCCTCTCCCACAAGTGTCCAGGGCCTGGGTGCTGGGAGAATGTGGAGTTCACAGAGGGAGTGAGAATGGTAGTACTAATAGATAAATGAGAGTTAAAGGAAAGAAAGGAAAAAAAAAAAAAAAACCTGAGTCAACATATTCACTTCTTTGTCCTAAATTTTTTTATTTTACTAAAGTTTTAGTAAAAAGTTATTTACAACCCTTATCAGTAAGTTATGTTTCTATCCTTTTCCAAAGACACTGCACTTTATTGAGGGCTACACTGCTAGGTGCTGGACACACAAAATTCACTCATTCAGTTACTATGTTTAAAGTCAGATTCCTCTCCTCTGTGTTAGGATCTTGCAGTTGAGAAAAAGAACAAATTGTCAAAGCTTGCCGGGTAGATAAAGAGGAAGGATATTCCAGTCAAATGAACAGCATTTCTCAAGAAGTGGTGAGGAAATAGCATGGCATGTGTATGGACAAGCATTTTGACTGACTAAACCTTAAGATGCTTGTAGGAAGAGCTTCTTAGTGCAACTTTAATGCTACGTGACTACAGCAAAAGCTAGCTGATTTGGAGTTCGGGTTTTGTTCTGTTTGGTGTGGGGGACTGTTAAAGGAAAACGATCTATTAAAAGTAAAATATTTTAGGAAATATGGAGATAACCTGAAGGCCCAAAGGCTATTAGAATTTGGATGTGGCAAGGAGATTAAAAAAAAGATATTTAGCTCTATTTTGGTACAGCTCTTCTGCAGAAGAAACTATATAGGGCTGAAACGCAAAGGAACTAAATTCTAATTTTCATTCTACAATTAGTTTGTGTGGGCTCAGGCAAATTACTTAATTTTCCTTAGGTGTTAAAGGAGATTGTATCAAAGGTTCTAAGTCTTCTCTTGCTCAAAAAGTCCATTATTCTTCAATGAGTTTGAAGTCATGGCATTAGTTTCACTCAACTTTCACTCAATGGGATAGTCGTTGCCGTTGTTGTTTTTAGGTGCCATCGAGTCTGTTATGACATGTAATAACCCTGTATATAAAAGAACCTAAGGAGCTCTGGTGGCACAGTGCCTAAGGCATTTGACTGCTAGCCAGGAAGTTGGCAGTTCAAACCCATCAGCCACTTCGTGGAAGGAAGATGGGACAATCTACTTCCGTAAAGATTTACCACCTCAGAAACCCAATGAGGGTCACTGTAAGTCGGAATCTACTAGATGGCAGTGAGTTTGGTTTTTATATAACAGAACCAAATGCTTCCCAATTCTGCACCATCCTGACAATTGTTGCTATATTTGAGCCCATTGTTGTAGCCATTGTGTCAATCTAGCTTGTTGAAGGTCTTCCTCTTTTTCACTGGCCATCTACTAATTATATCCTTCTCCAGGAATTGACCCCTCCTGATAACATGTCCTAGGTTTGTGAGAAAAGTCTCACTATCCTCGTTTCTAAGAAGCATCCAGGCTGTATTTTTAACAAGACAAATTTGTTCATTCTTCTGGCAGTCCATGGTACATTCACTATTCATTACCAACACCAAAACTCTTCTTCAGTCTTCCTTACTCATTGCCCAGCTTTTACAAGCTTATGACACAATGGAAAATACTATGTCCTGCGTGGGTCAGGTGCACCTTAGTTCTCAAAGTGACATCTTTACTTTCTTAATTTTAAAGTTAAAGAATACTTAGGAACTACTAATTACTGGAAAAATCAAGTGAAACATGAACCCTTTTAATGGCTTCACAGTGTACTGAAGCAGCCAGAAATGTCTACAGAATGATAAGTATTGTATTAAAGGAGCAAATAGAATAAGAATGGAACAATGTTAATTAACAATAATAACTCAGAATCGACTCGACAACAGTGGGTCTTGGATGGGTAATGGAATTATGAATTCAGTTTGGGATATTGATCAAAAGAAGTAGTAATATACATAACACTCCTGGCAAAATCCTGGCATGTAGTAGGCGTTCAACGAATAGTAGTTAACTGTATTGTTAAAAGGAGCGCTAGTGGCGTAGACACCTAAGACATTTGACCGCTAACCAGAAGGTAGGGGTTCAAACACACCAGCCACTCCACGGAAGGAAGATGGGACAATCTACTTTTGTAAAGATTTACTGCCGCAGACCCCAGTGGGGGTTGCTATGAGTGGGAATTGACCCGATGGCAGTGAGTTCGGTGTTTTATACCGTTAAAGTCACCCATAAAGAGAATGAATGGCTCTATAAGAGTAGGAAGAGGAGTAACCTGCTCCCACAATATTAGGTGACCAATTGGTTTCATTCACCTAACCAATGTAGTCCTTCTACATTAGTTAGTCACAGCTAACAAGGTAACAAGGTAACATGACATCACCACCTTGACCAGAGGAACTTGTAAGTTATGAGTTGTTCCTAATGTGAAGTTTTTTCCCACAGAACACCTTATTCTGTAATTATCTCTATCTTGTTTTTGCCATGTCTATCCTTGAAATCCTTGGCATAGTGGTTAAAGCCCTTGGCTGCTA